CTGTAAGATAAGCACTGGATAGCAAAATCGGTTTGAACTGAAAGGTCGGCGGTTCAAACTCATGCTGATCAGCCGCTCCTCGAAAACCCTATACAGGGTCGCTATGAGCTGGAACCGACTCCACAGCATTTAACAACAAACCCTTCGGTGTGATACAGGTTCTAGAGACGAGCGCGATTCCACCTTCCGGGTGTGGGCCTGGCCGCGTGAGGCTCATTTCCCGGGCAACCGACGCCGTGAGCAGTGCATTGTGGTTTGCAACAAAATGCGGGCGAAAGATCCTGGGGGAACCATTGAGTTCAAGGACCAATGGGAGAGTCCTAAGGGCTGCGTCAAGCCAATAGGAGCGTACGGTGGGAGGCGGGGCCGTCGCGAGCAGGGCGGGGCCTGGGCACTAGGCGGCGGCGGCTGGCGTGGGGCGGCTTAGATGCGCCACGGCTTCGCTAGCTACGGCACCACTAACTGGGTTTGAGCCGCTCTAACCCCTCCCCCAGGAGACCGCCGCAGTCTACCCGTGTGTGCTCCCCGGTGAGAGACTCGGGGGCTCCAGGAAGTGGGCGGGGGGCCTCGCAGCCTGTTCTCGGCCCTTCGCCGGACTTCTCCAGCCGTGTGCTCCGCGTGGCTCTCGCGTCCCGAGAAGTGGGGGGGTGAGGGGGTCGTCTCGGGCGGGACCGGGGGCGGGGGTCCCGACTCTTTACCCAAGTTTTCATCTTCGCTCGGGCCTTGCCCCCCAGGGAACCATGTGTGACCGAAAGGCCGTGATAAAAAATGCCGACATGTCTGAGGAGATGCAACAGGACTCGGTGGAGTGCGCTACGCAGGCGTTGGAGAAATACAACATCGAGAAGGACATCGCGGCCCACATCAAGAAGGTGAGCCCCCAGCCCCGACCCCGCGACCCCCTAGCGACCGGCACTGGTCCTGGGGCCGCGCCTTCGGGGAAGCCCAGACCCTCGGCTCCCGAAGTTTTTTTGTAAATGAGCAAGCGCTGCGCGGGGAGAAGCGCCACCTAGCAACGGTTTCCAGGTTCGCGAGGTGCGGGTCCCCCTTCTGCGGGATCCATCTGGGTGTTCCGAAGGGGAGCTGCGTGGGTGTTTTGCAGCCGGAGCCCGAGGGAGAGAGCTTGCCAGCCCTCCCGCGACAGCACAGCTAAAGTGGGCGGCGGCGGCGACAAACGGCGGTCTTGTCCGGAACTTAGAGGGGCAGCGGGGCTCTAGTCGGGCCTAGGGGCTGAAAGGCTCCAGAGGAAACAGAAGACACCTTTCTCCCGACGAACGGCGCGCAGTGTGCACCCTTTTAACGTGGGGATGGGCGGAAGAGAGGTTTTGGCTCTGCGTCCACTATGACAGTAGCCGCAAGTCAAAGTCATCACAAACACACCGTGGGAAGTCATTAATTCAGACGTTACAGCGCCTTCGGGTGGCGAGAAATAAGGAAAAGTTCTTGCAACTTGCCATTCTTGTGGTCCTGATGGTGGAGCTCGGAGGGCTTTTTAGATTATGATTTAAGGAGAAACTTGAGCACTTGGGTAGCAGGTTTTGCATTAAGCATTCATTTGATTGTGTCCTTGGATTGATGATTGCCTTGTTTCCTTATGTTGATCCTCAAGCCCTTTGGTAGCTGTTTACTGAGGCTTTCAGTGATAACAAAAATGCAATTAGTACCTTGATGGTAAATGAATTCAAATAGGGCAATTTGGGTCCAGTATCTACCCTTTTCCTGAATTTTCGGTGCATGGTGGGTGGCAGGCACAGTACCTCTGTTTATACATAAAAACTAATGAACTCCCAACTGGTGTTACCTGCTGGCAGTGCATGTTGTACAAGAAGTTGAATTCTAACAAAGAGCCCTGTCTGTGCTGCACTTTCCTGTGGTGATTTTCCCCAGCCCCCATCCCATCTTAGCTCAGACTGCAAGTATGTTTGTATTAATGCACTATGTAGGCGACTTGGAGCAGGGGAACATTCTTTCATTCCAAGAATCTGCAGATGCTACTGTTTTCTCCTCTCTGCCCTGACCTTCCGTTTGGAATTAAAATTCTAGTGTTTTCTTTCTTTTCTTTCTTTTTTTTTTTCCTATTTTGTTTTAGGAGTTTGACAAGAAGTACAACCCCACCTGGCACTGCATCGTGGGGAGAAACTTCGGTAGTTATGTGACACATGAAACTAAGCACTTCATCTACTTCTACCTGGGCCAAGTGGCCATTCTTCTGTTCAAATCTGGTTAAAGCATGGACTGCCCACACACCCAGTGATCCATCCAAAACCAAGGACTGCAGCCTCAGTTCCAAATACCAGAGACTGAAATCTTCAGCCTTGCTAAGGAACACCTCCATCTTTGACCCTTCATTGTGTTGGTTTGTACAGGGGCCTTCTCTGTACTAGTTAGTTGTGGTTATAAAACAATTAGCAAAACGGCTTACATTTGTATTTATTTACTATTCCATACTTCTTCCCTGCCTCGTTTTTCTTTCTTTACAATTCATTCCTTTCAAAACAAATAAATCTGTTGGAGATGTGTGTGTTAACTACAATTTGTTTAAATAGTCTAGGGTTGGAGATGGCTTACCACTTAAATCAGGTGACTAGGTTCTGGGGGTGAGTTTTTGTGGAAGAGTTTATCCACTTAATCCTCCCCATCTGCACGTAACGGACAGGTTGAGACGCTTAGCAGAGAAACAAACTTAGATTAAATTTTACTCATCATCTGTTAAATACTGTCTTTAATTGTTGATTTTGGTGAATCCGAGGTGTATGAATGTTCGGTGCCTTAGTCCTCAGGCGGCATTGATAGATGTGTTACTTCAGCTGAACTTTTTACATCTGTAAATTCTTTCACAGGAATTAAAAACTTTTAGCCTGCTGTGTTTTAACTAGGAGTCCTGGTGGTGGCAGTGGGTTTTACTAATGACTAAGGTTAGTTGGAACCCACCACCTGCTTTTCAAGAGAGTGCTATAGCAGCCTACTTCTGTGGACTCCTGGTATGGTAAGCACTGGATTGCAAACCACACGGCGTTTGAAACGTACCAGCTGCTCCTTGGAAACCCTGTACAGAGTTGCTGTGAATCAGAATCTACTTAATGGCACTCAACATTCCTATAGGGTTACCATGAATTGAAATTGGCAGTGGGTTTGGTTTGATTTGGTGCTCTGATTAGTTGTGGTCAAAAACCTAAGCTTGTTTAAAGATTAAAGTTGTGAATAACTATTAGTGCCTTATTGTCAATTTTAGGAAGACTGTTCTTTTCTGTGAATAGTAAATATAGCCGAGTTGTCTTTTGTAGCTGGAAATGGCCTGAGGTTGAAACAATTTGCGCATCTTGGGAAACTGCAAGGACTGTCCTGGCATTCTAAGTGTTGTACATTGTCAAAATGTCAGGTGAGCTTGTTAAGACATAACGATTCATTAAGATTTATGTGCAGCCAGACTAGCTCTACACAGAAGGGGGTTGTGGGTTATACCATCAGGTTGGCAATGTCTTGAAGTTTGCCAGGTCTTAAAACAGTTTTATAGGGAGGTCCTAGCGATGTGCTATGTATTACCTGCTACTTTCTGACTTGGAAAGTAGCAGGTAATACATCTATTTTGACAAATGGAATGAGAGGAGAGGTTTCATCTGCAGGAAACCGAGGTACTTTTAACTGCAATTAGGATGATTTAAGTGTCTGTGTAAACTGAATGAAAAAAGTTTATACTTTCCATCACCTTTCTCTCCAGTGATTTGGCCAAGCCCAACAGAAACGTATTGGGCCTCCTAAGTTGTACTTTTCAATATTGTCCACAATTGGCCTTATTCCAAATTGACCCGTCCCTTTCCCACACTGCAGAACTGAATAAGCTCATACAACTCAATATTACGGGCTCTAATTTCATCTGGCCCATGTGTGCTGTCAGGAAATGACAGTCTAACCATTTTATTTTTTGATTCAGATGTGAGAAAATGATGTTACCATGGAAATAGGACTGGGCTAATTGTTTATGAAGTTCCTTCTCAGTACCTGTTCCTTCCTATTAATTTTAAAGGTCAGTAGCTCCAACTGGCTAAAGACATGAGCTATGTATGACCTTTCTACAGTTTACTATTTTGTCAAATGCTCTTAGTTACCTTTCTTTAAGGTAGGTTATATATAGATGGCTTTACTTTGGAACATTTTAGTGAGTGACAGGGCCAGATCTTAATGACAAGTACAGGTAAAAAGCCTTCAAGCTTCTAACTGCCAGGCTTACACATTCCTTAGCAAGGTTTTTCAAAAATAATCTCACCTACTCAAAAGGTCTATGGCTTCATTTTAACATCACATAGAATAAGAAACAATAGCTGTTAGAGTAACAGTTCTGACCCATAGCAACCCTGTATAGGGTTTCCAAGGAGCGACTGGTGAGCTTGAACTGCTGACTTTCTGATTCAAACCAACTTTGCAAAGAATTCCTTAAAAGATCATGAGAAACAGCAGTTTGCAGCTACATTTATCTTTGAGCAAGTTACCTATCTTGTCTTGGTTAATGAGAACTGAAAGAATGTATTTACCCCATTCCCTTCCCGAAGAAAAATGAACACCATGAAAAATTGTCAGCTCATTTACTGGTGCAGCATAGTTTCCTTTATCTCTAGCCCTCTGACTTGGGCCTTCAGTTTTTGTTCCAGATTCAGCCCTAAAGATGAAGTTTCTAGTTAAAATAACTGGTTTCAAATGTTCCATTCAGCTTTAGTGCCTGCTGGTATTACCTCAACCACAAGCTGCTGCACAGTGCCAAGTTAAAAGGAATTGAGCAAAAACCAGACCAAACTCCTTTGGAAGCACGTCTATCATTCCTGATGAAGTTCCAATAAAGTGACAGGAAATGATTTCACCCCCTTGGAGACTGGTCTCTCAGCACCAGAGTTCAAGGTATATATTCCTAAAAGGAGATGTGCTGTTTGTCTCCTGAGCTGGATTATTCTTCAGTGCCAGGCTTTCAACAGGATGTGACTAGTTCATACTCCAGGACTAGAAAGGAGTTACAGTTTGAAACCAGAATGAATGGCCACGATGCCTGATGTTAGGCTTTCATATGACACCTTCTGAAAACCTGCATCTTCTATCATCTCCTTGAACTCCTCCTAAAACACAAAGAAAGAATAAGGACTATCTGGATTTCAACTTTTAGTGTCTTTGTTAGAAACTGTAGAAAGTTTATACCTGAGGTGGGAATTTTCTGATACTTTCTACTAGGTATTGGTAGGATTTCCAGTCTCCTGCGATAACTTCTCCAAGGACAGGAATGACCTGGAAGCTATACAGATCATAAAGCCTAAACAAAAATACCGGAGATGAAGATTAGAACATGACTCAATTTAGATTTCTAACCTTAGGAAGTACAGTCTAGGTCTGGGGTTAATAGTCCCTGAAGTAAGGGACGTGGGCCAAGGTGTGAAATCAAACGGGAGTGGTGGGCATATGAACAATACAGTTAGGATCATAACAATGGAGAAGGAAGGGGCAATTACAACAACTCTTTGCTATTGCCATGTAGCAGTATGAGCCTATGTAGGGTGCCTGCCAAGTTGAGCTGGAAACCCAGATTTTTAGATGAAAAATCCTTGAACGTTCAATCTTTTAAAACAGCATGTTATATGATAGAATGAAAGTAAAACTAATGTTCTCCCATGTAAACTATCATATAATTCACACTGAAACAAAAAAAAACCCCAGCATGTAAGTCCACTAAATAATTCTGTGGGCTAACTTGAACCTCTCTGGTTATTGAACTATGACTTGTCTAGCTTCTTGTTAAGTGCTGTTGAGTCACTTCTGACCCATAGCGACCCTGTAGTATAGGGTTTCTGAGGAACAGCTGATGAGTTTGAATCGCCGACCTTGCAATTCAAATGGCTTTGCAGTCTGACGCACTAACTCACAGTGCCACACCAGGACTCCATGTTATTCAGAACTGGCTGGTCTCTGAGGTGGCACCATCCATCAAAGTGGGAAAAGACAGTTACTGGCTCTTTTTCTGTTTTCTACTCATTCTGTCCGTTTGGGAAACCCTTGATTAGACAAAGAGAAAAAAGCCGTAATAACAATTCCAACCTGGAAATGAGGGGATTGTTCACTTGGCTAAACTCCAGACAGAGAAACCGTCCTCCTGGTTTTAGGACCCGATGGGCTTCCTGGAGTGCCTGAGCAAGACAAGGAGGACAAGATACTCAGGAGACCCCATTCTGTTTCATGAGACTGAGGCAGTTGTTTGCTTCAGTGAGCGCGATAAAAACTATCATTTGCCCTCTAGCCCAAGTTTTCACTTGGGAAGCTGTAGAGTGCACATAGAGCGCTTGTTGGGTGCTGCTGAGTTGATTCTGATTCATGTCGACCTCTTTGTGTTAGAGTCACATGGCCTGACAGGGTTTCCTTGGCTTTCACCTTTCTAGAAGCAGATTGCCAAATCTCTCTCCCACAGAACCACTAAGTGCCTAAGTTTGCACCACCAACTTTTGGTTTGTAGCTGAGAAAGCCCTGCCACATTCTAAACTTTAGTAGGCACTCTGCCATCTGAGACTAGAGAAGGTTGTTTGGGGTAATAAAAAGTGACTATATTGCTATGAGTCGGAATCGATTCAACGACGCTGAACAGATTAGCGTAACCCCCAAAACAAAACAAACCCACTGCCATCAAGTTGATTCTGACTAACCATGACCCTATGCAGGGTTTCTGAGGTTGTAAATCTTTACAAGAACAGAATGCCTCATCTTTCTTTCTCAGAGTGGCTGGTAGGTTAGAACTTCTGACCTTACAGTTCACATACCAAAGCCTAACCCACAGTGCAGCCTCCAGGGAAGACAATTATGGAATGACCTATCACAGGTGGACTCCTGATGTGGCACAATAGGATCAGCACTGGACTTCGAACCACAAAATCAGCAGTTCAAACCCACCAGCTGCTCCTCAAAAATCCTATACAGGGTCACTAAGCAAAATGGACTCAACCTGGTACTTCACAACATCATCAAAATGATTATGACCATCCTCTTAGATCCAGCATTTCCACTTCTAGGAATGGATCTTACAGAAATGCTGCTACTGGAGAAAATGTGTGCATGGATGAGTGACTGCAGCTCTGTGGGAACAGCATAGGATGAGACGCATCTTCAATGAAGCACTCATGTCAGACTGATTGAGTCATAGAGCATCTTTCCAAACCAGTGACTGTGCTCTTTATGCACTGATGTGGAGCATGGCCACAGGGGTTTGCTTTGTTAAAACTTTACTGTGACTTGAGTGAAGCTTTACAGAGCAGACCTTCAGTTTTACATTCAATAAATCATACACTACTTTTCATCACAATGATTGCAAACCCCTCCAGGTACCATTACATTTCTCCCTGTGTCTCCCGCTACCTTCATCTTTCCTCTTGTTGTATATTGCCTGCCCTGTCACCGTGCTAACATGTGTCTACCATGTAGAACATGAATAATTTCTCCTGTGTGTAGTTTTAAAGGGTAAAAGCAATGGCTGAAATGTTGAGTATGTTAATTTTTGCCTTAAAAAAGAAAGAAGGGCCTTCAAAAAGTGCATGGAAAAAATGGAGTGAAAAGGTAGTGGAAGTTTTCCATGAAGGATGTGAAGCCAGGAAAGATAAGAGGCTGGTGACTGTTTATAGGGAGAGGAGGTGCTCAGTGGGTGGGGGACAAGGTGGAAGAGACACCTTCAATGACAGACCCTTTTCAAGTTCAATTTATTTCTTTTAATTAAAAGAAAAAAAGAAGCTGGCTAGAGACACAGCTGTTGTTAAGCGCTGTGGAGTTAGTTCCGACGCACAGTGACCCTGTATAGGGTTTCCAAGGAACGGCTGGTGGGTTTGACCTTGTAGTTCGCAGTCCAGTGCTAATTCCAGAGTACTAGACCAGGACATAGTAGCTGCTGTTGTTAAGTGCCATCGAGTCAGTTCTGATCCATAGTGACCCTGAACAGGGCTTCTGAGGCTATAAATCTTTACAGGAGCAGAAAGCCTCATCTTTCTCGCGCGGAGCAGCTGGTAGTTTCAAACTGCTGACCTTGCGGTTTGCAGCCCGATTCGTAACCACTATGCTACCAGAGCACCTTACCAGGACATAGTATTCAGCTAAGGAGCACCAGAACATCCCACCCAAAGTAGAGGAACCAGGGACTGTAATCTACATCCCAAAAATGACACTGAGTACCTTGTGAACAGTCTTCAAATGTTTTGAATAGAATGTTACAGTTGAAATGCAGAACTGTGTCAAATTAAGGAGCACTGGTGGCACAATGAGGAAAATGTTGGGCTGCTAACCAAGGGTCAGGAGTTTGAACCCACCAGCCACTCTGGGAGAAAGTGCAGCCTGCTTCCTTAAAGATTTATAGCCTAGGAAACACAGTTGTACACTGTCCTCTAGGGTAGAGATGAGTCAGAATCTAACCAATGGTGATGGACTCAGCATCAAACTAAGAGTTGAATATTCCCTTCATGGAGCGACTGTGACTCTAGCTACATTCTGCCACAATAGGTTGGATGCCTTTTTTTGTCAGTTAATGCCAACCTCTGACATGTCTCTGTTTTGCAAGGTCACTGGGTCAGACAGCTTCCTAAGTGAGAGGAAACTGATGAAATCCAGAGCAAGACTGAGAGTCTCAAAGATACAAACACCAACCCCAGCAACCAAGCCTTCCTTCTATTTCTATGGGGATCTGCTCGGCAGTTTGTTTTGGGGTTTTGATCTACAGCCATATCACCCGATCTTGTCTTTTTTGAAGTTTTGGTCTTTTTCTCACTTATGTGACTAGGACATTGGAGACTTACAAGATTGAGACCCCTAAAGCCATTCCACTCAAAAGCTGGGCCTAGGAAGACTCTCTCCCTGTTTTCTCACTGTCTCTGCATCCACTCCAGGGGACTTTCCTAAGCACAAAAGCCAAGGATGCAGACATTCATACCCGATCAATGTGTGTCACATTCCGGATCCCAAAGGCAATGGTGTAAACATCAAACTTGTCATCGTCAAAGGGTAGTTCTTCTGCATCCCCCAGAATCCATGCAAGTCCTGAAAGAGAGAAATCTGTTCTGGGTCTAGGTCTGGGTAACTGTGTCCTCTGGACCCTAGCACCTCACAATCCTGCCTTCATTACTTGATTCTGAGCCAATGTCTTCATGGTGTCCTCCAATCTTGAGATTCTGAAGTTGAGGTTCCTGAAGCTGATTCAGATCTGAGTCCTACCCCTAAGTTCTTGGGAGTAGATCTTAGTCTGCCTACACACCATAAGGAGTCCTGGGGTGGCACTGTAGAATAAACACTGGACCATAAGGTCAGCAGTCCAAACTGATCAGTTGCTCCTTGGAAATCCTATACAGGGTCGCTGAGTCAGAACTGACTCCATGGCACTCAACTACAACGATAACAACCTAACATAAGCCCTCAGGAGAAATTTTATCCAACTAAGTTAGTGTTGGTGGCAACCACTGTAGTGAAGGGCCCAGGCCCTGAGCCCATGATGTTCTAATTCCAGCTTCACCATTTATGAGCTGCATAATCTCGAGTAAACCATGCCTCGGTTTCCTTACCTGTAAATGAACCAACACCTATTTCACAGTTTCTGGGAGGGTAAATGAGTCACTCTTAGTGCAGTGGTTAAAAAATAAAACAAATAGAACCCATTGCTGTCATGTTGATTTCAACTCACCGTGACCCCCTTGGGTTTTCAGTGGCTGTCGGATAAGCAGTGGACAGCAAAGGTGGTTTGAAACGCAAGGTCAGCGGTTCAAACTCACCAGCCACGCCTCATAAAACCCTATACAGAGTCGTGATGAGTCAGAACTGACTGGATGGCACTTAACAGCAATGATCTTGGGGAACTAGACCTCCATGAGTAGAGTGCTTAGTATCCACTAGGCTCAGAATCAAACTATCTAGAATGCGGGTGTTGGTCATGAATTCAGAAACCACCTAAGGCACCCTCTGTCAGACCTGCAGTGTCCTGTACAAATCCTAATTCTGCTTTAATACTGTTCAACACCAGTGAATTCGACATAATATATAACAGGAAGGATCTATGGAGGGAGGAAGGTAAAGGAAATAACCTCTCCAGAAGGCAAACTTGCAGAGGTCACTGAGTCAATTCCAGCTGGTAGGTTTGAACTGCCAACCTTGTGGTTAGCAATCCAGTACCTATCCTACAGTGCCATCGGGGCTCCTAAGAGCCTTAAAAATAAGGAGAACATTGTCCTTGCAATTTCATTACCATCATCACCATTGCTACCAATATACCATATGGCAGGGCTTGTGATATCACTTTACATGTTGTTGTTGTTAAAGTACCGTCGAGGCAGTTCCGACTCACAGAGACCCTGTATAGTTTCCAAGGCTCTACATCTTCATGGGAGCAAAAAGCATCATGCTTCTTCTGCGAGGCAGCTAGTGGGCTCAAACTGTGGACCTTGTGTTTTGGTGTCCAGTGCTTATCATATGGAGCTCCGTGCTCCCCAAATCTTTATATACATAATATCTAATCCCAGTCTCACACCAGCGCTATGAGATAATTATTACTATCATCTTCCTGTTTGGGGTGAACTAAGTATCAGGCTCAAGCATGGCAACAATAGTGAGGTTGGCCCAGGATCAGGCAGTGTTTCGTTCTGCTTTGCATAAGGTCGCTATGAGTCGGTACCGACTTGATGGCACCTAACAACAACAAGTATCAGAAAGGTTAAAGTAACTTGGCCAAGATCACCAAGTAGAACTCAGTTCTATCTCAGGCTTGTGTTTTTAACAACTATAGTAAACTGCTTCTTGCTGTTGCTGCTGCTGTGTGTTACAGAGTCAGTTCTGACTCCTAGTGACACTAGACAGGGTGTCTGAGAAGCAGCTGGTAGGTTTGAACTGACAACCTTGTGGTTAGCATTCCAGTTCTAATCCTACGGTGTCACACCAGGATCTACTTCTGGTCTCAGGTTATCAGACCTGTCGGCTAGTTTCTTATTTGTCTTTCTGATTTGTTTTAGTTCTTTGTTGTTATTGGTGTTAAGTGCCAGCGAGTCGCATCGCTATAGACTCATAGTGACCCTATGCACAACAGAACAAAACACTGCCTGATTCTGGGCCAACCTTACAATTGTTGTCACGCTTGAGCCCATTGATGTTGCCACTTTGCTAATCCATCTTGCTGGGGGTCTTCCTCTTTTTCTCTGACCCTCCACCTTACCAAACATGATATCCTTCTCCAGCGACTGCTCCCTCCTGACAATATGTCTGAAGTATGAGAGACAAAGTTTGGCCAATCTGTCCTTCAAGGTACACTCTGGCTGCACTCCTTCCAACATAGATCTGTTTGTTCTTTTGACAGCCCATGGTACTTTCAATATTCTCCTCCAACACCTTAACTCAAAAGCATCAATTCTTCTACGGTCTTCCTTATTCACTGTTCAGCTTTCACATGCTAATTGAAAACACCATGGCTTGGGTCAGGCGCACCTTAGTCCTCAAGCTGACATCTTTGCTCTTCAACACTTTAAAAAGGTCTTGTGCAGCAGATTTACCTAATGCAATAGTCGTTTGATTTCTTGACTGCTGCTTCCGTGAGTGTTGATAGTTGATCCAAGAAGAATGAAGTCCTTGACAACGTCAATCTTTTCTCCATTGATAAGAATGTTGTTTATTGGTCCAGTGGTGAGGATTTTTGTTTTCTTTCACTGAGATGCAATCCATACTGAAGGCTGTGGTCTTTGATCTTCATCAGTACATATTTTAAGTCCTCTTCACTTTTAGCAAGCAAGGTTGTATCATCTGCATAGCTCAGGTTGTTAATGAGTCTTCCTCCAATCCTGATGCCATGTTTTTCTTCATATAACCCAGTTTCTCGGATTATTTGCTCAGAACACAGGTTTAATACGTATGGTGAAAGAATACAACTCTATCTCACACCTTTCTTGATTTTAAACCATTCAGTGTTCCCATGTTCTGTTCGAACAACTGCCTCTTGGTCCAGGTACAGATTCCTCATGAGCACAATTAGTTTTTTAGTGCTGCTATATCAGAAACATCACAAGTGGATGACTTTAACAAACAAATTTATTTTCTCATAGTTTGTTGTTGTTTTTATGTGCCATTAAGTTGGTTCCCACTCATAGTGACCCTGTAGAGGGTTTCTGAGGCTGTAAATCTTTATGGGAGCAGAAAGCCTCATCTTTCTCCTGAGGAACGGCTGGTAGTTTCAAACTGCTGACCTTGCGATTCACAGCCCATTCGTAACCATTACACTACCGGAGCTCACAGTTTAGATGACTAGAAGTCAGCAATCAGGGCACTGGCTCTCAGTGAAGGTCGTTGTCACTTCAGCTTGTTTCAGGGTTCCTTGGAGATCTCCAGATGGTTTGGTGTCAATCCTTCCCAATATCTGTCAATCTTTCCCTGTCTTTTTGTCTCTTGCTTCCTGGTTGAATCTTCTATCTCAATAGAGATTGACTCAAGACATACCCTGCAGGAGTCCTGGTGTGGCGCTGTGGGTTAATGCACTGGATGGCAAAGTCCCTTTGAACTACAAGGTCGCTGGTTCCAGCTCACCAGCCTCTCCTTGGAAACTCTGTACAGGGTTGTTATGGCTTGGACCAAGTCTACAGCACTTAACAAGAAGACACCCCCTACACTAATCCTGTTTCATTAGCATAACAAAGAAATTCCATTCCCAAATGGGATTATAGCCACAGAAATGTTGTAGTTAAATGCCTCTAAAGTAAATTCAGACTCACCCCAGGACCCCAACTACAAGAATAGAGGTTAGGATTCACAACACAGAATTTTGAGAGACACAGTTCAATCCATACATTTCTTTCATGCTCCTTTGCACTAGACAAGTTAAGACCAATAGTTGGCATTTTAGATGACTACTCTCCAAACTAGGATGTAAAACATCATCTTTATGAACTATGTTATGCCAACTGACTAAGATGTCTCACAAGACTATGGTGTTGATCTTTTAAACCCAGTAAACTAATCCCATGGGGTGTTTAAAGGGTACATCTAGGAAGAACAAACACATTTGTGTTGAAGTACAGCCAGAATGTTACTTAGAAACTAGGACAGCAAGACTTCGCCTCTCATATATTGGACATGTTATCAGGAGGGACCAGTCCCTGGAGAAGGACATCATGCTTGATAAAATGAAGAGTCAGTGAAAACCAGGAAGCTTCCTAATGAGATAGATTGACACAGTGGCAGCAGCAATGGGCTCACAAAACAATTGTGAGGATGGTACAGGGCCATTCTGTTGTACATAGATGGGGTCAGTCTGTTGTAAATAGGGTCAGGTTGCTATGAGTTACAATGGACTTAACAGCACCTAACAACAAAGGAGCTCTGGTTGCGTAGTGGTTACGAATTGGGCTGCGAACCTTAAGGTCAGTGGTTCGAAACTACCAGCCGCTCCGCGGGAGAAAGATGAGGCTTTCTACTCCCGTAAGGATTTACACCCTCGGAAACCCTATACAGGGTCACTATGGGTCGGAACTGACTCGAAGGCACTTAACAACAACAACAACAACAATAATGACAAAGGAAGTTTCCGTAACTGCCCCCTATGTGCTTTATTGGAGTCCTGGTGTGGCACTGCAGGATAATGAACTGGATTGCAAGGTCAGTTTGAACTGCAAGGTCAGCAATTCAAACTCAACACGCATTGGAAACCCTGTACAGGGTTGCTATGAGGTGGCACTGACTCCATGGCCCTTCATACAACAATGTGTTTTATTATATATGTTTTGCTGTCTTAATACTTTTCCAAAATTTTAGTTTTATAAAATCTTTTTCTCAAAGCTATCACCTTTGTTGTTGTTATGTGCCATGGAGTTGGTTCCGACCCATAGCGATCCTGTATAGGGTTTCCGAGACTATAGATCTTCACAGGAGCAGAAAGCGTCATCTTTCTCCTGTGGAACAGCTGGTAGTTTCGAACTGTTGACCTTGCGGTTCGCAGCCCGATTCATAACCACTTCACTACCAGAGCTCCTTATCACTTTTGATCCATCAAAAAAAATATTTTAAAGGTCCAGTCTTTAGAGTTTCTCTCTGGGAGGCAGCACAAATGTAATACTACTGGTAAAAATGCCTCTAAATGTTACATTTTACAAATAATTTCTAACATCCTCCTACAGAGTTTCAGCTTATTTTGCAAGGTATTTTTTGGCAGAGGCATTTATTAGAGAGTGATAAAGCAAAGGAGACAGATAAAGAAAACTGTACTATGCAACACTTAGGATTCCTATGAAGGTCAGTTGCTCTGGGCAGTTTTAAGAGCATTCAGGGCAGGCCGCCCTAAGAAGAGCAGATGTGAGAAACAGAAGGCACCTATCACTCAGCACCTTTGTTCTCCATTTTTCTGGCTGAACACCAGGGAGAAGGGAAAGAAGGCTCTTCGGAAGGAATAAGGGAACACAGTGCCTTTGTATCAAAACACAAGCCAGTGGCCTCCGGACCAGAGTAGTTGGTTAACAAAAGCGTCCTTCATCTTTGGGGCCAAGTGGGCTCTGGTTCGTCTAGGCAGCTCTTTCTGGGGGTGGAAGGAGAAAGAATTGAGCTAAAATAACATACATAGTCATGGGTGGGAAGGGAAGAGGAGAAAAAATGCTGATGTTGAGCTGAGGGACTTTATTTTTTGGGTTGAATAGCACTGTGTGCTGATTCATTGAGGTGCTCTACAATCTTGGAAGAGGGAGGGGTGGGACTTTGAAAAGCCAGGTCAACCAGGTGCGGCCTCCCTGATCATTTGTTTTTACCTAAAAAAATGAGAGGACGGGGGAAGTGTATCAAAGTAAAAAAAGCAACAGAAAGTCCCATGTGAAGTCTACATTTTGATGATGGAGTGCACACTACCAGTCACACCTGAGCACATGGTGGGCTCTCAGAAGCATGGAGTAGTCCCCCACTTGGTGCTGAGAATACAAGAGGGCTTCAAAAGTTGATGAAAACATCCATTATCTCTTCATTTCTTTTTTTGTTAAACTTTTCATTGTGAATTGAAAGAAGGTTTATAGAGCAGATCGTCAGTTTTACAGTCAACAAATCAGAAACTTCCTTTCATCACCATTGCAATCCCTTCACTTATAACCTGGGAAAACCACATGGGAAGAAAACGCTCAGAATTTCTCATGTGAAAGAACTGAAAAAAAAAAAAAAAAATTCCAGCCTTGACTTGAAATATTGAAGGATTCTATGGGCAAAATATTGAATGACTCAGAAAGCATCCAAAGAAGATGGAAGGAACACAGAGAGTCACTGTACCAAAAAGAAATGATCAAAGTTCAACCATTTCCAGAGGCTGCAGATGATTAACAGTCAATGATACTGCAGAAAGAAGTCCAAGGTGTACTGAAGGCACTGGCAAAGAACAGGTTTCGGGAATTGATGGAATAAAAATTGAAATCTTTCAACAAACGGATGCAGCACTGGAGGTACTTACTCATGTATGCTAAGAAATTTGGAATACAGCCACCTGGCCAACTGATTGGAAGAGATCCATATTTGTGTCCATTCAAAGAGAGTTGATCCAACAGAATACAGAAATCACTGGACAATATCATTAATATCACATGCATATAAAATTTTGCTAAAGATAATTAAAAAACAGTTGCAAAAGTACATTGACAGAGAACTTCCAGAGGTTCATGCGGGTTCAGATGAGGACGTGGAACAACGGATATCATTGCTGACGTCAGATAGACATTGGCTGAAAACAGAAAGATGTTTACCTGTGCTTTATTGACTATGCAAAGGCTGTTGATTATGTAGCTCATGACAAACTATGAACAACACTGCGGAGAATGAGTATTGTAGAACATTTAACTGTGCTCATGAGGGACTAGTATATGAACCAAGAGGCAGTTGTTCGAACAGAACAAGGGGATACCTACCGAATGGTTTAAAATTAGGAAAGTTATGTGCTAGGGTTGTATTCTTTCCCCATACTTATTCAGTCTGTATGCTAAGCTGGATTATATGAAGAAAAATGAAATGTGGCATCAGGATTGGAGGAAGACTCATTAACAGCCTACGATATGAAGATGATACAACCTTGTTTGCTGAAAGGGAAGAGGACTTAAAATACTTAGTGATGAAGATCAAAGACCACAATCTTCAGTATGCGTTGCACCTCAATGTAAGGAAAACAAAAATCTTCACCACTGGACTAACAAATAACATCAATATAAATGGAGAGAAGACTGAAGTTGTCAACGACTTCATTTTGCTTGAATCAACCAAAAACACTCATGGAAGCAGCAGTCAAGAAATCAAACATTTTGCATTAGGCAAATCTGTTACATAATATCTTTTTAAAGTGTTGAAGAGCAAAGATGTCAGTTTGAGGACTAAGGTGTGCCTAACCCAAGCCATGGTATTTTCAATAACCTCATATGCACGTGAAAGTTAGACAATGAATAAAGAATACTATAGAAGAATTTATGTATTTGAGTTATGGTGTTGGAAGAGAATATTGAATGTACCATGGACTGCTGCTAGAACAAACACAATGGTATTGGAAGAAGTACAACCAGAGTGCTCCTTAGAAGCCAGGATGGCCAGATTTTGTCTCTCATATTTCAGACATATCAGGAGGGAGCGGGAGAAGAGGGACTCATTGCTTAGGTATAGGTGATGGAAAAATTTGGAAACAGATAATAGTGGTAGCTGCACAGAAAAACAAATGCAATTAATGTACCTGTGAATAAAACTGAAATGGCAAATACTTTGCTGTATGTATATTATCACAATAAAAAAGTGGGTTTTTGTAGCAACACACATAGGAAAGATAAAAGCCAGAGGAAGAAATATTGGGCAGGGAAACTTTTAGACCACATGCATCTGATCTGCCTCAGCCTACTTAACAGAAGCTCAGGGTGGTACAAATGGTGAAGTTCTAGCCCTGAGAGGTTAGCCATTCGAATCCACCCAGAGCGTGGCAATCTGCTTTTGAAAAGTCACAAACATGTCAACCCTATGGCACACAGTTCTATATTGAAATTCTTGGTGTCCCCACAAGTTGGAATTGACTCAACTGTAACTATTTTGTATTGTGTTTTTGAGCTGCCTCTTAAGAGTTCCACATAGAAAATGTACAAACCCTGCTAGCACCTCAGTGCAAAGAGCCTCACCTTGACTGATCAGCAAGTCCTTTCTTTCTGGGATCCAAGAAGCGTACTTGTGCAATTTCCACATCAAACTATCCTACTGACAACAAGATCAACTAGAGAAAGGGGTCAACTGGGAGCTGCTGGGAACTGGACTGAAAATAACACTGTGGTTTTGAGGCCAAGAGCTGAGATCACAAAGGTGGCTTCCAGTTCGGGATCTGCCATTTAAACGCTGCATGGCTTGAGTGAGACAGGCCATAGGGATCACCCCTGTCATGTGGAACTGGTAATCAAATTTACAGAGTTACTGAAATAATGTACATAACAACAGAATGAACTCAGCCACACAGCTAGCTAATCTGCAGTTTCTGCTTGTAGGCTTCTGAAAGCTGAAAAGGAAAGCATTTCAGCATTCTCTACACATGCCATGCAATTTTATATACATATAAACACACTTGCTCAGGGCTCACGTTCTGAAGGACTTACCAGCTTTGTATCCTTGAGCCTGAGCTTTCTGCTTCCCAACTTTGAGCATCTCCTTGTTGATGTCACAGATCACAACCTGGGAACCACCCAGGGAGTCCTCTTCATTCTGGTACTTTTTGGCAATTTCTTCCCAGGATAAATTCTGCTGGGCTCTTAACTGCCTCTTCTGCCTTCCCCGGTGCTGAGCTTGAATGTAATTAAGGAACCGGAAAGCAATATCACCTGTGAGAAGTAAAGAGGAGGAAAAAAGATTCAAAACCACAGAAAACAAAACACAGCATTTACTAAACCTAATAAAAAGTTACAAAGGTTAAGCAGTTGACACTGTGTGAAACAGAAGTTACTACTCATCTCAATGGTAACAGTGTGTGTGTGTGTGTGTGTGTGTGTGTGTGTGTAGGGTAGGGGATGGAGTTTGTGTTTCCCCTCTAAAAATAAAAGCTATACTGGCTTTGTTAATGTGTTTCCAGTTAAAGTGTACACAGCAAATCAGGTTCCCATTTGGCAATTTCTGCACAAATTGTTCAGCTCTGTTACATCGTCTCCACCATATCAACATCCTCATTAACACTGCCTAGTTGTCCAGTTTCCAGTGCTCCTGTACCCAAATCTTTTCATCTTTGCTTTAAAGTCATTGCTGACCTTTGGGTGTGGCACAGATGCTTTTTAATGGGTACTACACTATCCTCATGGATACTACCTTTATTTTGTGTGCCAGTTTATTATTTCTTTGAAAGCTGACCTCAGGATAGTTTGGATATAAATTTTAAAGAGTATCTCAGGTCAATAGTCTCATGGAGTCCTTGTGTTTCCACTAATCCAGTATATCTGATTGTTTAAGAATCTGAGTTTTCTTTTATTCCCATTCTGTCAGGGTCCCTATGCTGGGGCTTTGATCAGAAGGATTGGTCTAGTTCTTCTGGTCTCAAGGCAGATGAGGTCAAGGCTCAGGATGGCTATCCGCCCTAAAGACTAGTTTCTTCTCTAAGACTTTGGTTTTCTTCTTTCTCTTTTGTTTCCAACAAGCAGCTATCAGTAGTCAAATCTTAGATGACTGCTTGTAAACTTTCAAGACCCCAGATGTAGGATGTAGAACGTGTACTTTGTGATGCCAACTGATTGAATTAACCCATGATTACTTTTGGGGCATTAAAATGAAAACTTTTTAACTTCTAAAATTAAAAAAACAAAACAACAAAAAACCCCCCCCAAAAAACTTTTCCAGGAATGGGCTATGTAATGCATGGATACACTCTCACTAAAAAAGATTCAATAACTAAGTATGTGGGATAAAACATAGATGTCCCATTCCCTCGCCTTATCTGCTCCAGATATGGCCAGTGTCTTGGTAGACAGCTTCTAGCCTTTTTCTTATAATTTTCATGAAAGTAACATAGGTATGTAGTTACAAGAAGTCATTTCCTGCCCCATTACCTCCCACTTTTGGTTCAGTTCCCAGAGACAATCTCTTCTAACTTTTTAAGCTGTTTCTTCTGTTGGCTACCGTTATTTCTTTACTTAATAAAATAATCAGGTATGATTAAGGTGAGTCTGTGTGTGTCAGAGTAGAACTGTGCTCCATGGGGTTTTCCATGGCTAATTTTAAAGTAGTAGATTGCCAGGCCTTTCTTCTGAGGTACCCCTGGGTAAATTCAAACCTCCAAACTTTTGGTTAACAACTGAATGTTAGCCATTTGCACCATCCAGGGACTCCTTTCTTTACTTAAAAAATTTGATATGCTCCTCTTCACCCCTGCTTATATCACTTACCTAGTTCCTCATACCTAGTTCTTCACAACTTGGACAAGAAAGTAGTCATGACTTTTATTTCTTGCTCCATCAACTACAGACATTATCTCTCGACTCCCTTCAACCATCATATGTACTTTCACATTTTTTTTTTTTTAAATTAAATGTTTTTATTTTGCATTGAGTGAAAGTTTACAGGGCACATCATCAGCTTCACATTCAACCATTCATATAGCTTGTTTCATTACATTGATTATTATCCCCGCTATATATCATCAGTTTACAGTGTTTCTCTCTATCCTCTTTAGCTTTTTTTTTTTTTTGGGGGGGGGGGGGGGACTTGGCTTATTGGAATTTACAGTCTCGGCTTTTAGGGGAGGTTTTTACATTTGTCTGTGGATATCCAGGGCTCACGTATGAGATTACTAACAAGCATTACTGAATAATCAGATGAGGGACAGTTTGTTATGTCTACTAGGTGGCTAGAGTCTGATCCTCAGAGCCTATGGTTTGGACGGTCAACAACGCTTGGGCCCACAGGGGTTTGGCCTCCTGACCGGGTCTGTGCTGTCTGCATCTGAGTCCTCCTTTTTTATTGATTGTTTAAGGGACGCTGCCTGTCTTAGGTGGTCAGTGCGAATTCCTCAGTCTTACCAGTCATTGAGACTCATTGCAGCATGGCAATGTCTCTGTCCCAAGTAGCCGAGGTTCCACGTGATCCTTACCCGTCTCTGGCCACACGTCCAGCATAAACAGCCGCCATCCGAGGAAGGCAGGGAGGGAGGAGATCAGCTGGGGACCCCATGCGCCCGACGTTGCCGGCCCACCACCTGCTCTAAGGTGACCAAGCAGGATCACTAAGCTGAGGTTCAATCCAGTTCCTAGGGGAGTACTTTCACATTTTACGGCTAATTTACTTTGTTCTATAATTGGAGTCCTGGTGTGGTGCTATGGGTTAATGTGCTGGACTGAACCACAAGGTTGGCAATTCAAGCTCACCAGCTACTCCTCAGAAATCCTATATAGGGTCAGTATGGGTTGGAACCAACTCAACAGAATGTAACAAAATCAACACCATAGCTATAATTATGTCTTCATGTTGGGTTAGACATAAAAGCTGAAAATCAAAACTATTTCCAGTATTGTGAGTGTTTTCCAGTATTGTGACCAAGTTAAAAATGTTAGGGCAAAGTCAGTGACCTCTGGAATCCCATTTTCTTTCTTATGATGCCGTTTCCTTTTCTTTTTCTCTTGTAATACTTGCAAGAAATATATCCTTAAGTGTTTCATTGTCTCCATCTAATCAAGTGTTCTCCAGTCCCTTTTCTATATAAATGCATTTACATGTACCCATTTGAAAACATAAAAAAATATAAACAAGGATCATATTATACACATTGTAATATAACTTCATTTTACCACTTAATATGTCTGCTGCACAAGAGCTTTAAAGACCCAAGCCAAGGTATTTTCAATAGCTTCATACGCATGTGAAAGTTGGACAATGAATACAGAAGACCGTAGGGGAATCAATGCATTTGAGGTAGAGTGTTGGAGAAGAATATTGAAAGTGCCATGCACTGCCAGAAAAACAAACAGATCTGTGTTGGAAGAAGTACAGCTAGAATGCTTCTCAGAAGCCAGGATGGCAAGAGTTCATACTTTGAATGTTATCAGGAGGGACCATTCCCTGGAGAAGGACCTTAAGCTTGGTAAAGTGAAGGGTCAGCTAAAAGAGGAAGACCCCCCGCCCCCACGCGAGTTGGACTGGCACAGTGGCAGCAGCAACGGGCTCAAGCATAGCAACAACTGTGAGCCTGGTGCAGGATTGGGGGGATGGGTGGGGTTTTGCTCTGTTGTGCACTGGGTCGCTATAAGTTGGAACCGACTCAATAGCCCCTAACAACAAGAATAACAAGTCTTTCCCTCAGTATTTAGAGGTTTTCTTCTTTCTTTTTAAATGGCTATGTTCTATTTCAATTCCAACTCACAGTGACTACACAGAGTCTTTACTGGCGTAGCCAGCCTCATCTTTCGGTTCAGTTAGCAACATAAAGCTTAACCCTACTGTGTCTGCAGGGCTCCTTAGTTAGGCCTAGAAAAATTTAAAGTATTTCCTTATTAAGGCAGAAATAAGTTGCCAACTTTTTCCTATTACTAAAGATGATGCTGTAAGTATATATCACATATTTACTTTATGTAGAATTGGATTTGCAGGATCACAGGTTATATGCATTTGAGATTTTGGTAGATTGTCCTCCATTTGGTAGATTGGGAAAGGATCACCCCAACAAAACCATACATAATCATGTTTCCAATATGGAACTTACTTTGTTGTAATTGAATCAGGATACGGACACCACCAAGACACATTTAGAAACCCATGTCAGTTTTCTCCCCAAGTAACAAAGGACCAAACATAAATCACCAATGACGCTCTTGGTATCTGATGTACCAGTGGACTAGGCAGAAAAGGTTAACCTAGATGGCTTGTGCAGAATAGTATAAGACTTCTCCCAAATAAAAGGGAACGTAGGGTCAGGTTAAACAGAAGGTAAAATAGTTCTTTAGATGACAAAATGTCATGGAATTAAAAAAAAAAAAAGTCAGTCTTGTGACGTTATAATCCCGTACATTTTAGAAAAGTGAGACATACACGAACGAAGCTGATATTCTGTCCTTTTGATTGATAATTCAGCTCACCAGCAAACAGCATACCTGCCTCAAGTTCCATTTACCTTCAATCTAATAGTAGGTGAGGTGCACTAGCTCATTCCAAGAAGAGACAGTAACTTCTGTGTCAAATGCTCAGTAGTACCCAAGGATGGAGTCCTTGGTGTGGTGCTGCAGGATAATGTGCTAGACTGCAAGGTCGGTGGTTCAAACCCACCAGCCGTTCATTGGAAACCTTAGACAAGGTTGCTATGGAAACCAACTCGATGGCACTTAACAACAACAACCCAAGGGTATGAAATTATTACCTGTGCCTCCAGCAACGTCTAGCAGCTGGGTCCCAGGAAACGGATGCATCTTCCAGAGCAACAAATCCTTCCAAATACGATGGATCCCAAGACTCATCATATCGTTCATCACGTCATACTTCTTTGCCACACTTTGAAACACATGATAGACTGATGGGGCAGAAACACACAACACAAGTGTGCTATTTGAAAGACTAAGGAGGACAAATCCCACATGCAAAAGAAGGAGCTTTTCCCCCTGAAATGCAGTGCTTGATTTAATGCATTATAATGCTGGATGCCGAAATGAAATTACACCTTAGCATTACCTCTTTACAAAGAGGCTGAAAGGTACTTTACATAAGAAATCACTTCTGCTGCCTTCCTTATCTGTAGGCCCAGGACTTCTCTAATACAGCTATGCACATACTAGATACTAAACTGGTGTTTTTGTTTCTTAGAGAATGAGGGGAAGATGGCTGGAATAAAATTTTCTCATGGTTTTTATGGAGTAGTAAAGCAGCATCATGATAAATGATGAAAAACTGAAGCTGTCAAGGATTTCACTCTACTTGGACTAACAATGAACATCCAAGAAAGCAGCAGACAATACATCAAATAGCGTTGGGCAAATCTGCTGCAAAAGACCAATTTAAAGTTCTCAAGAGCAAAGATGTCACTTTGCGAACTAAGGTGTGCCTTACCCAAGTCAAGGTATTTTCATGCCTTACATGAATGTGAAAGTTGGACATGGAACAAAAAAGACAGAATTGGTTCATGTGAATTGTGCTATTGCTGAAGGATATTGAATAGACAGTGGACGACAGAAGAATGAGCTAATCAGTCTTAGAATAAGTACAACCAGAATGCTTCCTAAAAATGAAGATGGCAAAACGTCATCACACTTTGACTATGTCATCAGGAAAGAGCAATCGCCTGAAAAGCACATGATGTTTAGTAAAGCAGAGGGTCAGTGAGAGGAGGGAAAATCTTCAACGATATATGGACTGACACAGAAGTCACATGATGTGCTCAAACTGATCAAAAATCATGATGATGATTAGGCAGCATTTTGTTCTGTTATACATCAGTTTGCCACTGTGACAACTGACAAGAACCACAATGGCATTACAATTCAAAAACAACACAATCCATTAGAAAGACACACCATATCCATCTGTAAAATGGACATAATACCTTTCTCATTATAAATGGTACAGTTGGAGTTTTAAAACTACTATTTTCATATCTCACATCTCACAAAGAAACTTCTCAACAACACTGACCATTGATTGAGCAATGACAGACTGTCAAGCACTGTTGATACTGCTTGAATGTTTTAAGTAATCCAATCCTCACAAGAAGCTAAATGAAAGGCTTACTGTTATTTCTACTTCACAAATCTGGAAACTGAGGCATAGATTCCTATTTTAAAAAGTGATCGCTCTCTTTATCAAGAGACTACTGAACAGAAACTGGAGGAAGACTAAACTGGGTTCCTGAAATAGAAGAGGTCTTAAAATATTTACAGATGAAGATCAAAGACCATAGCAGTTGATATGGGTGGCACCTCAATGTAAAGAAAACAAAAATCTTCTCCATTGGACCAATAAACAACATCTATATAAATGGAGAAAAGATTGAAGTTGTCAAAGACTTAATTTTGCTCAGATCAACCATTAACACTCATGGAGCAGCAGTCAAGAAATCAAATGATGTATTACATTAGGCAACTCTGTGGCACAAGACCACTTTAAAGTGTTGAAGAGCAAAGATGTCAGTTTGGAGGTTTAAGGTGCGCCTGACTAATGTCATGGTATTTTCTACAGCTTCATATTTATCTGAAAGTTGGACAATGAATAAGGGAGGCTGTAGAAGAATTGATGCATTTGAGTTATGTTCTTGGAAAAGAATGTTAAAAGTACCGCGGATTGCTAGAAGAACAAACAGATCTGTATTGGAAGAAGCACAGTCAAAATGCTCCTTAGAAGCCAGTAAGGCCAAACTTGTTTCTCATACTTCAGACATATTATCAGGAGGGACCAGTCCCTGGAGAAGAAAACGAAAAACAGGAAGACCCCAAATGAGATGGATTGGCACAGTGGCAAGAGCAATGGATTCCAGCTAAACAATCGTGGCGATGGCCTAGGACCAAGCACTGTTTCGTTCTGTTGTTCATAAAGTTGCGATGAGTGGGAACCGACGTGAAGGCACCTAACAACAATACTCGGTAAACTAAAATTAGAATTAGAAAAAATGCCTACAAAGGTCTTGCCCGGTGTCTAGCACCTCATAAACGCTCAATTGATGGGATTTGGTGAGTAGTTTCTCTGCTAATAACAGTCGATCACCTTGGAGCTCAGAACTGCACAGACTGCAGTATCAGCCAACGGGACGTTAATTCAACACTTAGTTGCGCACAAGAAACTAGCTGGCAAACTGTCAGATCCCTCCCACTGCCTCTCGTCTTTTACCTTTGCCTCCTTTCTCCTCTTCCGACACGGTTTCAAACCCGAAGTGCGTTTCACTCGCTTGCTTCTCTTGGGACAAGAGACGTACACCAAGCGGACCCCAAGGGCAAGAGCTACGAAGCACCGGGAGCCGGCTAGCCAGTATCGCCCGCCACCACCCATGGCCACAGCAGCCCCATAGAGCGCGACTCCTGGGGGCCGCCATTTTGGTAGTCGGACGACACTGGACGGTGACGTCACGGAGATGATCGAGACAGTTGACGGCGGCCGACCAGAAACATATTTAGTTTAGGGCGTTTTCAAACCTGCTTTTAAAGGCCCGCGGTATTAATACACTGGCTGCTCCACGGGAGAAAGATAAGGTTTTCTGCTCCTGTAAGGATTTACTGCCTCCGGAACCTACTGGACGGCACTTAACAATATTAAAGGAGCCAAGGTCTCTGGAATAGAAAGGTTGCTTCTCTTTGGATACCCCAAATCCCTCTTCCTCTTCTCAAATTACATTTAGAATTGATTAGAAATGAAGGGAAGCTGAAGTACCTCCCTGGGTCGGTCAAGCACCTCTCAGTGACCATGTTTCTTAAAAACTTGTTTAGCAGTAGTACTAGTACTAACTTGCATGATAACTGTTTTCCAAACGTCACGTTTTTTCGTGCGGTAGAAGGAAAAAGATGAGGCACGGTGTTGTAAAAAGTCTAAATCACGGTCAATTTTCTCAAAGGCTGGTGTGCATAAAGAATTACCTGGTCTGATATTTGAAATGCAGGCTCCTGGCCTTGGAATATCAGAAATTTTGATTTTGGTATTGTTGCTGTTGTTAATTGGGTATGGTCGCAGTAAATCTGTATTTTAACACGCTTCTCCGGTGAATTTGATTTGCAGATCATTTTTGGAAACGTTGAAAATGAAACATTGGAAAGTCAGTTTTGTCGGTTTTCCATTTGGATAACTCTAGGATGTTTACAAGTGTGAATGGAAACGCTGGAATCCATTTAGCAAGTCAGAACTAGTCTCAACTCCCGCTGTCACTAAATTACATTTCTAGCTCCAACTGACCTAGCATGGGCATTTTTCTTAAACCCCAGTTTCCACATTCTGTGTTTATTGACACGGTACTGGAAACCATCTTGCTCAAAAGAAAGGAGGGAGGTGGTGAGTTTTCCTTGGACTTCCGTTTGTCTCCTATTATTTAAATGTATGTTCCCGGTGAAAATCAATGCCAACCATTAATTTTGCAACCATTGTCACCCTACTTTTGTGAATTGTTCCTCCCTCCACATAAATTCAATGCCCGCTAAAGTTCCTATCTTATTTTCAATTACTGTTGTCAATTTGACTCTTATTTTGCAGAATGACAGAGAAAGGAGTGCTTATTTCACACACTCTGAGTTCTCACATTTTTACTAAATAAAGGTGCATTTAGGGACCTTAGTGTATCTCCCACATATATACTCATGTAGCAACAGACTGCTTTGACACTGTTGCTTCTGGACAGAGCATGAAGTTTTCAGACCATCAGTCATGTGACTTTTCTCTCATTTCAGTGTAACTTATGGATAAGAAACTGTAGGCGGTGAAACTGGACAAGAACTGGTGGAGGGCCTGTTAAAGAAATTAGGAAATATTGAGATTGGCACTTAATTAGCTTTGTTTCAGTCTAAAATGTTAATGCCAAAAGAAAAAAAGAGGCAAAAAGCTTTTTTGCTTGTAGCTGTTGAGAGGCCCTTTGCTCCCTATGGAGCTCAGGTCACGTATGGCGGAGCCAGCGTGGACATTAGGCAGACGCAGCTCCAGGATGCCTTGAAAATAGAGCGGCTGTCCTAAAGAGAGGAAATAGTGACACGCAGAATAGCTACACTGCAGTATTCACGGGACTTGAAGTTTTCATGTGTCTCCATCAGAACCTCAGATGCCTGACAGCTCTTTGTGGCGCCAAAATAAGTAATCAAAGAAATTTATTCCTGGTGTGGCACTGTAGGATCTGCACTGCATTGTGAACTACAAGATCTGCAGTTCAAACCCACCAGCTGATCCTTGGAAACACTATGTTGTTGTTAAGTGCCGTTGAGTCGGTTCCGACCCATAGCAACCCTGTACAGGGTTTCCGAGACTGTAAATCTTTACGGGAGCAGAAAGCCTCATCTTTCTCCCGCGGAGCGGCTGGTAGTCTCGAACTGCTGACTTTAAGGTTCACAGCCCGATTCGTAATCACTACGCCACCAATCGCGAGGCTGCGAACTGCAAGGTCAGCTGTTCCGCGGGAGAAAGATGAGGTTTTCTGCTCCCATAAAGATTTACAGTCTCGGAAACCCTGTACAGGGTCGCTATGAGTCGGAACCGACTCCACGGTACATAACCACTACCACCACCACCAAGGAACCCTGGTGGCACAGTAGTTAAGCACTTGGCTGCTAATCAAAATGTCATTGGGTCAAACCCACCAGGAGAAAGATGTGGCACTGTATTTCGATAAAGAATATATAGTCTGGAAACCCCGTGGGTCATTTTTGTTCTGGCCTGCAAGATTGCTAGGGGCTGGAATCCACTTGATGGTAGTGAGTTTGGTGTTTGTTTGTTTTTAATATTTGGTGAAATTCTACTTGCCTTTCTAGGGTTAGCTCAAGTGAGGTCACGTAACCTCTGGGAAGCCTTTTTCTCCCCTTTCCAACTTTTAGTACTTCTTTCCTTTTGGAACTTGTGCTCTGGCTAGAGCTGCATAGCATTTTGCAGTTAACTGTTTTAGCACTCTTGCCACATCCTTGCGTTATAGTTTCCTATTTGCTTAGCTGTATAACTCAGGACTATGAATTTATTAAAGGCCTCAATCTTAATGTATATTGGCATTACTTGTGCCAGCACAGTGCTTGGCACATGATGGACTTGTATTTAAATAAGGTTAATCTTTTTGGAAAGCATTATTGATGCATCCCTTTAGCAATATGTGTATGTGAGCCTATTGAATCAGACTACCTGGTTAAAATGAATCATAATTTCCCCAGGTATTTATGGATGTGATTTTCAAAGTATCTATGTGATTTTATGAGTCTTAGTATTCTTATCTGTAAAATGGAGTACTGTTATATCACAGGTGATTGAGAACATCAGTTATTGTATATGTGTTATTAAGTGTCTTTGAGTCTGTTCTGACCATAGTGACTGCATAGGATTTCCAAGGAGCGGCCTGGTAGATTTGAATGGCCAACCTTGAAATGCTTATTTTACGCGCCACACCACAACTACTTAATGCCTGCAATACCTGGTATTTCCAGACGGTTTCCAAGTACTAACCAGGCCCGACCCTAATTAACTTCGAAGATCAGATGAGATCCGCGAGGTCAGGGTGGTATATAAGCTTGAGTAAAGTATGTAAAACCATTGCCTGACCTTTAGAATTGAGTTGTTGTGCAGATTAAATGACATAATCCATGTAAAGGAGCCCTGGTGGCGTAGTGGGTTACAAGTTTAGGCTTCTGAGAAAGGTTTTATTATATTAAGACTAAAAACTAAAACAGTTTTCTGAAGGAAAACCAGTTCCAATTATTCCAAGCGCTGTCTCAGGAACCAGGCGTAGAAAAAACTACATTTCCCAGAGTTCTCAACGTCTTCCTCCCCCCACCCCCCCCGCTCCCGGTCAGTATATATATACTCCATCCGGGTTCTTCGAGATGCTGTTTGGCGACTCGTCGCCATTCCCGGAGCAGCTCGGCCTCGGTTCTGAGGCGAGTGTCGGTCGCTGTGTCGGAGACACCCGTCCCCGACACCAAGACAACCAGCCCTCTCCCCTGCCCCGCGGTGGGAGAGCGTGTCCGGCCGGCCGGCGGGGCTCGCGCACCTTCCCTCGCCTCCCCTTCCCCCGCAGCCTCCGCCCCGCCAGGCCCGGCCCGGACCTCCGAGCCCCGGCCTTCTCCTCCTCCTCCTCCGTCACCACCGCCGCCGCCGGGCTCCACAGCCCCGCCTGTCGCTTCTCTGACCCGTTTGAGAAGCCGAGGGAGGAAACCAAGAAAAATGTCGCCATGAAGGCCGAGAACCGCTGCCGCCGCCGACCCCCGCCGGCCCCGAACGCCATGAGCCTGGGTCCCCGCCGCGCCCGTTCCGCTCCGACCGCCGCCGCCGCCGCCGAGGCCCCTGTTGATGCCGCAGAGCTCCCCCAGCGCCGCCGCCATCGCCTCCGACATGGACAAGAACAGCAACTCCAGCAGCTCCTCCGCCTCTTCGGGCAGCAGCAAAGGGCAGCAGCCGCCCCGCTCCGCCTCGGCGGGCTCGGCGGGCGAGTCTAAACCCAAGAGCGGTAAGGGTGGCCCCCACCGCGGCGGGCGGGGGTCTCGCTCACGTCCCCTGGGCCAGCCAGGGACACGCTCTGCCTCGTATCTGTCGCCCCCCACCGTGGCCCCCAGCTTTTGCGGTGCACGCAGAAAGGGCGTCGTACGGCGAGCTAACAGGTGTCCTGGCGCTCTGCGAAGTGGGTGCTGTTCTTCACATTTTGCAGTTGGGGAAACTGAGGTTCCAAAAAGGGAAGGCCACCCAGTAGGTTGTGCCACACAGCAGCAGATCTGGTTCCTGTGACTCATCAGTCCGCGTCCCTACAGCCATTCTAAGGTTGAATTAGCTTTAGAGAGGGCTCCTGTTTGAACGGGAGCGAGGAACTAAGGGCTTGCCAACCCAAACCTGAGATTTAACGATCGGACGCCAAATCCATCCCGCTGTTTGCAGAGCACCCCTCTCTGGCCCGGGGATTAAGAATAAGACTGGATTCTCTCTTTTCAGCTCCCACAGTTTTCGAGACATGGGGGGTGTCTCTGAGTCCTTAACCACAGAGGTGGAAATAATTGTGAGAATTAAATGAATCAACTAGAAAAATAAAAGAACTTTTTGCACTTTGAGAACCTGAAACCTCTTGTTGTTAAGTGCCGTTGAGTCAGTTTTGACCCATAGCGACTTAGGCACTAAATATACGAGGTGGGCTTCTGAAGGCGGTGGGAAAATTCCATTCTCTTCTAATTCCATTTTCCATGAACTTTTGGAAGCCCCCTTTTGTTTTCGTTTGCTAGGGTCAGAGATTGCCATACACAGGGGAGATTTTGCCATTTTGGTAGTCATGCCTCTGATTGTTAAACGCCGACCATAAAGATGATAATAGTTAGCATTTCTTGTGGGCTGACTATGTGCTAGGTACTTGGCTAGGCTTTCAGCTCTTTTATTGATCTTTATTATCACTACCTTAGACACTAACCTGTCCAGCAAGGTAAAAGTATTCTTATTTAAAGATGAAGGAATAATCTGAGTGGACATGAGGTAATCACTTGGCAGAGTCTGGAGTCAAATAGTCCCTTATCTTCAAAGGCCATGCACTAATCTCTGCTCTTTTTTAATATGGCAGCAACAAGGGCATTAAGCAGATGTTTTCCGTGAGGATATGTGTGTGCAGAGGGAAACATCCAGAGTCACCAAATACCCAATGTGTAAAAAAGTCCTGAGTTAGTTCTGAGTTTCCCTGCTGGATACAGCAAACTGATTTTCCACAAGTGCCGAAAGACTAACAGAGATGGTGAGAAACTCAGGTGGAGACTAGTTGTCTTAAGAATGCTTTAAAGATCTCAGTGGGGTTTAGTGTGGACTCTCAAGCTAAAGTAATGTGTAGATTAATTCTGGGGGCTTTGTATATGTATAGATTCATCACAGATGTATCTATGTAGATAAATATTTATATAGATTTACCCCTTGTGAGGGGAGCATTAGTTGGAACTCCTTTAGAGTGATGTGACTAGTTCCCAGTGTAGTTGATAAATACCATTACTTGTTTTTTTTTTAAATACCATTACTTTTATACGCTCTTCGCAGATGTACAGAGAAGACTTTTGTTGTCCAGCCATATGAATTCTCAGTTAAATTTTTATGGGCTCCTGTCTTAAGCCACTGATGTACATTTGAGTCAGCTGCAATAAGTGTCATAAATACCTGATGTGAGACCTTAAATCTTAGTGAGACATTAAGTGAAAGGAGTGACAACCCAAACAAAATAAAACACACACAGTGGAGGGACTTAAGGGATTTTATTCATTTGCCCCTGACTGCCAAATACGTTGATTAAATTGGCATTAACTCTACCCAACAGGATTGCACAGACTTCTTTTGTAGTTTGACCAGAGCAAATATTTGTCAGTGGTCATGTTTTTTAGACAGACATGTATAGGAGACGTACTAAATTCTGCCTTTCTTCTGACTGCTTAACTGCTGTTTGTACATTTTGTTTCCTTTTCTCTTAACACGGGACAGGGAGAGATCAAAATTGCATCTTAGATGGCTGTCCCTTAGCTTTTAAGACTCCACCTCAGTAGGATGTAGAGCAGGGGTGGAGAACCTTTTTTTCTGCTCAAATTTATAACATCATTAGTGGGCCATACAAAATGATCAGCTCAAGGATTGTTGTTGTTATGTGCCATGGAGTCAGTTCCGACTCATAGTGACCCTGTACAGGGTTTCCAAGGCTATAAATCTTTATGGGAGCAAATAGCCTCATCTTTCTCCCGTAAAACAGCTGGTAGTTTCGTACTGCTGACCCTGAGGTTCGCAGCCCAATTCGTAACCACTACGCTATCAGAGCTCCTTCAAGGATAAGCATGGTTAAACATTTAGTTTAGTCACCCATGGAACTTTGGTTGCCTTGGTAGGGCCAGACTAAATGATTTTTGCGGGCCAGATGTTTCCCACCCCTGATGTGGACTGTTACTTCTGTTTGTTTGTTTACAGTTAAATACTGAAAAACATAGGTAAAACACTTAATTGTTTTCTTAATTGAAAGCTTCTAAGGAATGAGGAAATAAAAATTCACATAAAGGACTTAGAATTATAATTATGAGGGGGCTTCAAAAAGTTCATGGAAAATTGGAATTGAAAGATAATAAAATTACATTATCATTCCATTTTGGAAAGAAATTCTGTTTTCCATGAAGTTCTTGAAATCCCCCTATATCTGTTGCAAAAAAAGGACTGAAAGCTAAATACACAGTTCTTTATCAACCATGATTCCAAGGAACAAATTAAAAGGCATAGTGTTGTTAGGGCCATTGAGGCTCTTCTGACCCATAGTGACTATGTATAGAGTTTCCAAGGAGTGGCTGGTGGGTTTGAACTGCTCATCTTACAGTTTGCAGTCCAGTGTGGATCCTACAGTGCCACACCGAGACTCCAAAAGGCAGACTAGGTAGAGATTATAAAATAAGTCGGAAACATTGGCCATCAGTTTGTTTTTGAGGTTGAACTGAGGGGTAAAGTATGTGGTTTTGAAAGCATCAGTAAGACCAGTGCTGCTGTACCAGATACTGTTCATGACCTTACACAGTGACTTCTAGATGACTCCTGTAATACAGGGTTAGACTTCCAGTTCAACACAGTTCCATGGAAAGGTTCTTTAGTATTTCCACATTTGATTCAATACTTGATTTAGTGATTCTGGTTAGAATCTTGAATTTCTGAGTTGAATGGTGAAGGAAGGGGGAAGCAAAACAAAAGCACTTTTCTTTTATCTAGGTAAAAAGAGCAAGATTTAAAAAAATTTTAAATATTTGTGTGAATGATCCCAAAACTCCCTTTTCCTTTCTCTCTTTCCCACCTCATACGAGGGAAGGAAAAAACAAAACAAAACCTTAGGTCTGTTCTCTAAGCAGGGTATGTTATTAATGGTCACTTGCTTCCTAGCTACATGATTAATGTACTTGAGACTTTTTGTGCCTGTGGCTGGCTTAAGTTTGTCCTTCATTTGTACTCAGGAAATAAGTAAACTTGGCTCTAGGATTTTCTTGATTTTTTTCCGGTTAGAGTAACATACCACAGTTTCTTTGCCTCAGTTAATTGCTCAAATATCTCTGTAACATTCATTGTTCTTGGATTTATTCCCACAGCTTCATTCCCATGAATATAACCTAGAGGAGAAGAATGGGCTAGGGAGTAGCAAAAGTCATTTGTAAAGAATATAAAATGCAAAAAGAGGTAAGAGAGAGGCTAGGCAAAACAGTGGAACCTGGCCAGGAACCAGGTTCTTGCCCCATTCTTCTGGCCCTGGGTTGGTGCTCCCCTGGAGGTTAAGGGAAGGTCGGGTATTACACAGCAGTTATTTTGAGGGTGGTGGTAGGAAGCACTGACCTGACACTTCCTGTACCAGAAGCCAGGTTACTATTGGTAATCAGCCTTCTTGAAATCCTCTGAGCTGTAAATGGACCTGGAGGTCTTAATGGCTTTGAAAAGTGAGGTGACTTGGAGTCTTGAATAAAAACTGCTTAGACGGTGGTAGGCATTTTAGGGCCTGTTGGCTAGAGTCCTTGATTTATAGGACTTTGCAGGAAGCCCACTGGTGTTCTTGACTGAATGATTTGGATTTATTAGTAATAGGCTTTAGATCATACGCAGCTATATGATAGCCACTGTGGCAAATGTTTACAAAAGTTTTCTCCTCATTCTCATGACCCTGGGAGGAGGGAAGGTAGAATTATTAGCCTTACCTTGCAGACTAGAAAACCCAGATTGAGAGGGGTTAGAGTGATTTGTCCAAGTAAATGAAAACTAAGTCGTAGGCCATATTTACAAATAATGCTTTGTAAAATCTCACTTAGCAAGCAGGCAATTTCTTGGAGCATAACTTCCTTTTACTCTACTTCATTCAAAATTAACTGATTTCAGTGGGATTCATTTGTTGTCGGTTGTTTCTTGAGTAAGGCCATATGGTGCCCCTCCCAAGGTGCTTGCCAACTATTCTGGATGACTGGCAAGCAACTGTCTTGTGATTGTAGCGTGAATCAGCAGCAGAAACTTCCGGACTGATATTCTGACCTCTAGGCTGTGCCACCTGTTACAGCTAGAGCTAGAAATGTTGATGCCAAATGATTTAACTGAAAAAAATGGTGGCCCAATGGGTGGGGTGGGTTGGGGTGGCAAGACTGAGGTATGTAACTGCTGTTACTTAGTAGAGACTGTTCCTTCAGGGTATTGTGGAACAATTGATACAGTGAATTAATATTTTTGCGTCTCTTTTTTCACTCTGGGCTCCTGAGTTATGGATTTGAGTCACTTAACCAATGCTCTTGTCCATTTGGGCTGTGTCTCTACAGTAGTTCTCAGCACTTGTTCTCAAGCCTGGCTAGGCATAAGTTTCTTTGAGGACCTTTTTAAAAATAGAGTTGTGTGGACCCTTACCTAGAGATTCTTTCAGTCTAGGTTGGCTTCTTGCGCCTTGGGTATCTATAATTTTGAAAGTCTCTGCAAGTGGTTCTCGTGTGTGGCCAGGATTTAAAAGCC